AAAATACACAGGGGAGCAATGTTGCTTTGCACACACTCGCAATGCTTTGAAGCATTTCCATGTGCCGTAACGGAGCGAAGCAGGAGGTCTCACCAGAAGCCTTCACCTCGGTGAGTTCCAACGCCCTTTAAAGACTCACCTAAAACTAACCCTTCCAACCCAGGCAGCTGAACGATGCAATACGAGCTGCGACCTCACGCTTACTTCGAATTGTCGAGGCCATTATTGGCTGTTTGGTGTTCTCACAGGACAAAACAAGCCCAGCGCCCACCTCCTCCTCAATCCCAGCGCTCTTCAAGGTTCAATTTGAGGGAGGTCACCCTCCAGATCATTGAGCAAGTGGGCACTCGCCAGACCACTGGGCAGATCATTGGGTAGTGAGTTTAGAGATTCTTCCCACCCCTACCCCCAGGCCCAGTCGGTTGGTACTTCCTTGTTGAACTCTTCCTGGTCTATGTTATAGCCCAGACCAAACCCCCTCAAAATATATTAAGAAGATAGCCTCACCCTGACATTTGCTTATTTGAAAGGCAAGTGCCAGGCGTTGCATTCCAGATAAAATATGACTTGTCAAACTACCAGTCTTAGACCAAAACACACTTTATTCATACACTATAGTTAAAATACAACAAAGGAAAAATGAAATTGGAATAACAACTTCATTGGAAAACTTAAAAGAATTGATTATTTAACTACTAATTAACCGTTCCAATGTAGTAACATCCCATAAGTACACCCTCAGCAAAGGCAAAGTCAATAAAATACATTGTCTTACATGTAGTTCTCCAGTTCAGGAAGAGAAACATGAAGAAAAATTCTGACAGAGAGAGAGTAGCAGGGAGCCATGTACCCAGCTTCAAGACTCCAGCAACAATTGAAAAACTCAAACTAAAAATCCTGGTTCTCTGGGAGCTTGACTCCAACCATTTAGGCTGTTTCTATTATTCTGACTTGAGAAAAAAAACAAACCCAAGGCCTCACAAGCTGTAAGCTTTATGGGCTTTGAAGCAGACTGTTTGGCACCTCTGTCTCAACCTTTCCTTATAGAAAAAACAGCACAAAGTACACCTCTTAAAGCCATAGTATTGTCACAGTCTGACATGGCACAGAAGAACACGCAATGCCACGGGATCTCAGATGTTGTAAGCTATTTTCAACCCTCACCACTTTTTATAGCCTGTGTTTGTCTTCTCTTTCTCGAGCTGTGCACTAGGAAGCAGTGCCCAGTGGTTAGTGTCTCAGACAAGCCCAATTCCTGAGAGTCTCCACTATCACTCACTCCTCCCCTCACACTCAGTAACTCAGGTACATTCACTCCAGGGAAACGTCAATATTGAGGTCAAGGGGGACTATTGCTAGCTGAAACCTGGAGCATAGCTGTGCAGTGGTCGGTGGTCATGGAGATGAGTAGGAACCTTGAGTTCAGGTTGTGAACCTCACAGCTTTTGCTTTTTGAAAGAGGATGCTTTCTGAGCGCAAAGAAATCAGCTGATTCCTGCATTTCTACACGTTACTAATAACAGATGGACTCCCTGAACTAGTGTTGAAGATATTAACTTAGTCACACACTGGAGCTTTAGACTTCGAGGTAAAGAGGATTTATTACGTGATATCACGGGGAGCCTACGCTGACAAAAGATCAGGTCCGTAGTCTCCGATGAGTACAAAAACAAGGCAATACTTATACGCGCCGTTATAGATGGAGACAGTTGTTACAAGCAGATAAGCTCATACAGTTTATCATATCCCCTTAAGGCAGGTCAAATGACATGTCATATATCATGGTCCCACACCTTGTGGTTGCTGATACGTTATCTTTAAGCGGAATGTGTCTTCAGGTTTGGGTCAACATTGAACAACAGGTTCTCAGCTTTCTACAGATATGCAACAATTTGTTGCATATCTCTCAACTTGACCTATTTTCCCATCATTCCAACCTCTAATTCTAAGCTTTAGCTACATTCTACATCTAATTGCTCTTGACACTTTAATAATTCTTCCACAACTGGCAACCAGCCTGAAACGGTGGCATCTCCATGTATGTTTGTTGTGGTGCCCGCAGGCACGGGCCTAAATTATGGTTATTGGCACCTCTTGTGAATGTTCAGAATATTGCTGTAGAGACCTTGGGCTCCAGGCTGGATCAGACTTCCCTCCAGCTGCTTGGGGATTACACTGCGAAAACCCTCGCTGGGCCTTGTATTTCCAATCTGTGCCAATAGTTGTGTTGGCACACTGACCCCCAGCCATGATGAGGCAGTGCTCAGTGGCAGGGCATGGTTGGCGCTCATGCGGATGAAGATAGGATCCCTCAGGTTGATGACACTTTGCACTATTGAGCCACCCTGCTCAAGGCATGGCACACATGGCAGAGACCCTAAGTGATGTCCATGGGCACAGGGACTCCAAAGGGGCTTCCATGATGTGTAGCACGCAGCTGCTTCAGAGACTCCTGCCATGATGGGACCATACAGATGGAATGAGAGGATAGGATCCAGAACATACATGCCACATCAGGGTAAATTCACTACCCTCAACAGGATCCCTGCACCAAATCAGCAGAGATCGCAGTTGAGCTACACCACTGTCCTACTTCTACCTGCCATCCATTTGAGTGGGACAAATCACTCATTAGTTTTCAGTAATTAAATGTGGTTTACCAATGTGCGGCATTTGTCCGGAGTGTGTTCTTGGTGTGATGTTTAATAAAATATTCTCTGGTGATCAGAATGGATTTCTCAGCAGTATATGTACAGTTAAGGCCAAAGCAACGAAAGCTGTTTTGTTGACAGCATGAATAGTTAAAAGGCTATTGACAAGATGGGTGAGTAGTAAATCTTAGACAAGGTTTTGTCAATGAGAGCCTGGCATCATACACTGGCAGGCCATATGTGGCCTTCAGGAGCTGGAGCCTTCTGGAACCTGCTAACTAGAGTTAGCCAGCCTTCTCCTCTGGATGCTGGGCTGCATTGTCGAGCACTCCCTGGTCACTCCAGCATTGTCTCAAGAATTGTCAGACAAACCCGCATAATTGCAACTGTGCCTATCGATCCGGTTTCCAGGGCAACAGGGAGTGGGATCCCTCACCTGCATGCCATCCTTTACTTCTTCCACATAATGTTCCCATAGTCATACCCATGGTACAGTGTGCCAACTGGAAACCTAAAACCAAAATATATAGTTCAATAAAAAGTTGGAACAGTATCGTACCTCTGCTGCTTCCAAAGATCAGATCAAAAATGGCAACTGCCCTACAAATGCAGGGAACATTGAACATCTCCCCATCCCCAGTATGAATGTTGAAATTTGCGCATATGCTCAAGAAATCTATTTAAATATTACATTTTCTGGAAGATCTCCCTCCTTTGGACCTGAGCTTCTTGCCCAGACATTCCCTGTTGGCGCAAGGTAGACAGAGATATAGCAAGGACATACCTGCACAGAATTCTGATCCTTATCCCCATTCTCAGCATTGAGAAACAGCATTGGGCCACATGCCTCTGTACGTTTTGCAGATACGTTCTCCTCCTGTCATGATGCTTTCTCAGGCTCTTAGCCTCACTGTTTCCGTCTGCTTCCTTGTGTAAGTCTGCCCTCTCTGTTCCTGTACACACACCCAGATTGTGTTTCCATCCTGTCCAGCATCTTTTACTTCGTCTCTCTCGTACTTTGATGTTGTGTTTGCCTCTCACATATTTTCTTCAGTTTTTCTTACTCATTTTGTATCCTCATTACCCCTTGAAATTTTTTTATATAGGTTCTGCTCTTAGGCTGGTTGGTGAGCATCAGCAAACATATTATATTTCTAGGACATTTCTCTACCTACTACTTTAATTGAGACCCATCCATTATAATAAGTCACATAAAACATTCACAGTTGCGCTAGAGAATCAGACAATGTCTAACATGACACTGACTGGGACAATCTTCGAGCCAGCACCATGGCAAGTTGGATGAAAGACAGAGAGCTCTTCAGCTTTAAATTTTTGATGTGGGAGAATCAGAAGATAATTAGAAGGCATAACATCTATGCTATTCTCTTCAACCACTCTAACCTTCCACATTCTAACCTTTCTCTGCATAAAGTTTCTCCTGAGTTTTGTACTGGATTTATTTGCGATTATCTTGTATCAGTTTTGGGCTGTCCAGCAACACCTTCATGATTTTAACACCTCAATCTGACCATCCCTAAGGCTCCTCTTTTGTAGAGAAAAGAGTTCTAACCTCGTCTTTCCTGATTGATGTCCCATCTCCATTCTGTTCTAGCCCTGTAAATCACTTATCATACATTCTCCATTTCCTTTTCAAAATGGAGAAACCAGAACAGTGCTCCAAGTATAGGTTGAGCAAAGCCGGCTTTTGAATTCTATTTGTCTAGAAATTGTAGTCATCATCTGCATGATTGAATTGAGTGACAGGATAGGTTGAAGTGACTCCTCCTGTTCTCACATTGAAATTGGAGGCAGAGCAGGAGCACGTTAAGTGTTTCCCAACTAATTTTGGCCGAGGTCATTTCTAGCCTCTTCATTTTTTTTTTCGCGTCTCTTTTGCCTCTGAATTTGCGGTGCTGTTTTTCTCTCTTTGAGAATCCAGTCATAACCATTAGAGATGGTCAGATGTATGCACTGTGCACGAGCAGAGGCGTGGAACAACCTGCACGGGTTGAGTTGGGGGGATGGGGGGGGGGGGGGTGCGGTGGCTGGTGAGGGCGGTGAATGGTGCATCATGGGAATGTTAGGCAAAGAGTCGAAGGGAACAGGCCTGATGGATTCTAATCAGCTTCTCTTGCTCCTGACACGATTGTACTTACATACTGTGTGCTTATTTCGTCTAGTCTTGTAAGTCGAAAGCGATTTTCCTCAAAAGGTTCCTTCAAGGACATTTTCAGCGTGAAACATGATTGCAATCATTCGAATTTCATGGATGTAAATGGCCTCATTAGGAGACATTTGTTAATGAGTATAAGTTTCCTGACTGCTAACTTTCTCCTCTGTATTTAGGTGATGCTCCATATTGTACACCGGAACAGTACAGAGAGTGTGCAGATCCAGCCCTAGGTAAGCACCTCTTGTGTTTTATTAAGCTCTGTCTGGGGTTAGTGAAATGGGTTGGCATTGGGTTGTTTGTAAGGGACCTTTTACTCATTCAACCAGACAACGTTTCTGGGAAACAAAGCAAGCTGGCCCTTAAAATAAGGTAGATAAGCTGTTGTAAAATGTGTGAAAATGGCCGCCCTGAGCTGAGGGGTCATTTTCTTGCTTGTTGTTTGTGAACTCTCAGTTAATAACCTTGTTCTGAGGACATTCAGGTTTGACTTTGCTGAGAAGCCAGGAGTGTCACTTCAGCTTAAACTGCGTGTTGTTGCTCGTTTTACCATCAGAAACCTACCCAGCAGTAAGTAGACATAAAAAGCGACGGTAAACGCTTAGCACTTTCTGTCAAGACAAATGGCAGGTTCATGTTTGAAGAGGGGAGCATGGGGATTCTGGGCTGGAAAGTTGCAATCTGAATGCGCACCCGTTTTCTTTTCCCCCAGCCGCTGATTGAGCAGTTGTTCACTGCCAGAGTCTTCTGTTTTCAGTTTCAAAACCTGATTAATCTGGTCGACATTTTCAGCCAATAATCATTCATGTTCCAGATCTCGAACAATGTGCCAGATCAATGGGGTGGTGGTGAAGGACCAAATCATTATTCTCAGGTCGGGACAGGAAGACCTCCCTCAGTCAGAACTTTGTACGAATTGGCACTGACTGGAACGAGATGTCAAAAGTCTTGCCGATTAGAGCTTGGGACCAGCTAAAATGGGAAACACTTTGGTCAAATTGAAATGCTTGACTGAGTGCAGCTTTGAGCTCTGTTAGCCAAATGGTACAACATGGTCTGGCTACACATGGCTAAGAAATAAGTTTTGAAAGCTTTGACGTCCTTTGGGTTGGCAACTCATGGTTGGAGTATAATCCTGGATGTTTCATCATGTGACCCTTCAGTTGCCTATTGTCATCCCTGTCCCCACCCTCCACCATCATTGGTCACACAACACTTCCATCCTCACCAAAGAACACCAGCAAAAAATATTCTTTTAACATCCAGATGATTTTTCTCCCAGACATTGCTTGTAATGAAGGACATTAATCTGGAGGCAGTTAAGGAAACACAAGATGACCTCCCATTTAACATGAATAGTCTTCAAGTGACCCAGTCACTCAGCAGTGGCGGACACTAAGGTAGTCTTGCCTCTTTCCCATCTATTACAAATAAAACAGACTGGCCTATATATGGCTAAGAGCCCATTTTCCCATTGGCCTTTGGAACAACACAAGGCCTTCCATGGTCAGCTGAGTGGTGGCAGGTTTTCAACAGGGGGGAAAAATGCCTCACAGTGCTGGCCCAGGGGACTGACCTCTGACAAGACTCCCATGCAGTGCCATCCGCTGCCCCCCACATGCCATGGCACTTGTGACTCCATCTCCCGATATCTTGGCAGCATCCTGTCCATTGGACGTGCCAAGCCACATGGGCATCCAACTGTCTATCTGATTCACAGAGTGACAGCTCTGTCGCTGGGCAGAAAGAGGCCATTTGGCCCTCCATGTCTGTGCCAGCAAATCACCGAGCGCCATTTTGCCGATGCAAATTTCCCCGCCATGATGGAGCAAGAACCTAGAGGCAAAACTTTAAGTTTTAAAACAAATTGTATGACACAAAAGTTGCAATGAACGCTGTCTGGTATTGGTCCTCTCTGGCTCTCTCCAGCCACCTGCTACTCATTGGCCTATACTGTTAGCAGGCTGTTAAAGCCTACTTGCTCGATGTTCTGCGTTGTCAGGTGTTGTCTTGAATGCTGTACTGACTTGTTTTTCTTGTTCCTCGTTGTAAGGTCAGGCTGGACGTGAAGCTTTCACGAGGTACCGGTGCCACCGGAGCAACTGTGTTGGAGTGTGGTGCCCAAACAAGCAGTGCCCCCTCCTCGGTTTGGGCAGATGTCGGGGATGGGGCGCCCATGCGTGAGGCAGTGCCTTGTGACCTTTACACTCAGCAAATGGGGTTGAAGGTGGGGAGTGAGGGGGTAATGCAAGCGAAGGAGAGCAGCCAGCGTCACTTGGCCCGTCAATTCATAGAACTGACGCATGCCACCTTGGCACAGGTCTAGCAAGTTCTTCCACGGAGCTGCCAAGCTTGCTGCTGGGTGCAGTGGTTCCTGTAGTGCAGATTGACTGCTGAAGCATGAGCCGATGGCACTAGCTTTGAGGAAGCTGGTGAAGGTGCCCTGCAGATATCTCACTCTGCTCCATAAAAGGCTGTGAGTGCACAACACCACAGAAGCCAATGGCAGACGTCAAGCACAGATAATTGTTCTGGTGGTCGTCTGTGTTTTTTTTTGGTGCTCAGTGTTGGTTACCAACACCCCTGTGTTCCACGCCGGCACGGCTAGCCGACCTGTTTCCCGCACTGGCAAACAAGCTGGCGGAAGTCCACCTATTGAAAAGGGCGTTGGTGCAGTTCACTCCAACATCCGCTTTGGAACATGGGACTGAGTCAAGCATTGGCCGCACAACGGCAGGACACTGCGCTGCAGACGGTAGGAAAGGCGCCAAGAGAGACCACGAGCAGAGCTCAGTGGACCAGCGCATGCAGAGTCTGCAGGTGACCAGCTGCCCAGTGCTAGTCAAAGAGAGAAAATCGAGAGAGGAAGGAATGAGATTTGCGATCATTTCACACATACAGCGCATTAAAGTAAGTGGCAGACTGTGCACAAACAGCTAGCAGTGCTTCTACATTGATCCCCAACAGAATATTGTTCTGACAACTGACCCTGTGCCCTATGCTGGTTGAGTGGCCACATGTAGAGCTCCACAGTAGATCCTTGTACACCGCAGTATGTATGTTTCCCTTCCAAAGTGCAGCGCCATGCTGCTTGACTTCACATCGAGTAATGCACTCTGCAGCTAACCCAATCAATGGTGATGGTGGTGCCAACTGCAGGGAAGAGATACTGTTGGCTCAAAGTGGGCACCAATACCAGCTCATGCCATGCCTCGGGCAATCATTATTGCCCTCTTACTGCCTGCAAGGAACCATCCAATCCCTTGCAGTCCTGCCACCTTTTTTTAAAACTTGGTGTGATGCAGCAGTGATATACAATAAAGCAGCTGCATGGTGCATTAAAGCAACACTGCTCGATCTTTTTAAAACAAAAAGCAATAAGGTGTGTTCCGTAGCAGCAAATGCGACTCAAGCAAATGGAACTATCCAAGTCGCAGTGCAATAGCAAGCTAGAATGCTGTCTAAGCAGGCTGAAATGCAGCCTCACCAAGCACGACACTGCTGCAGCAAGGCACAATGCATCAATAAAATGCACAGAACAGGTTGCAATGCAGTTGTACTAACAGTGAAATGCAGTAACATAAAGCTACAGTGCACTGATAACAAGGCACATTGTTGCAGCAAAAAACACAAAGCATCAACAAAATGCAATTCCAAAGCAGCGCTGTACGATGCAAAAGCAGCAGGTTGCAACAGCAGTAGTGAGGTACAAAACAGCAGCAAACAAAGAACAAGGATATTAAAATAACAGCAATAAAGTGCCATGCCGAAGCAGAAAGTGCAGTGCAGCAGCAATGGAGGACATTTCCGCAGCGAAATATTGTGTAAGCAGCAGCGATGAGCACAATGTAATGCCAGTACAGCAGCATTGTACAGTATCGTTGATAAATACAGCAGGAAAGTACAATGCAAAAGCAGCAGGATGCAAAACAGCAGCATGACTTGAAATATAGCCAACAGCTAAAGGAACGTGCAACAGAGCAGCAAAAGGGTGCAATATAGCGGCAAGGTGGTACGCAGCAGCAATGCAATACCAACAAGCTGATATTCAACAGCAGTGAAGTCCAATGTGCCAGTCATAACTGGGTCCAATGCAGCAGAAAATGCAATGCTGTCACGACAATGTTCAATGCAGATGCAGCAATATGCAACACACTAACAAGGTACAATGTGGAAGTAGCAAAGCGTACGGCTGCAGCAGCAGAATGCAATATCATCGCAAAGTATAACATTCCATTCACAATTAGATGCTTGGCTACAGAGCTACAGTACAATACAACAGAAAAGCAGAATGCAATTATATATTATAAGACAGCAGTAAGTATTATAAGGACTGTTGCACTGTACAAAGCAGTGGCAACAAGGTGCAATGCAGCTATGGAACTGCGCAACGCAGCAGCAAGATGGAATGCAACAGCAGCAAGGTGCACCAAAACAACAATAACAGTCCCTGTGAACTGCAATACAATGTCCAACATGGCAGTGGAGTAGACGACAGAGCAGCAGCATGCGATGTAGCACGAAGAGGATGCAGCAATATGCGCAACAGCAACAAGCTACAATACCCGGGACAGAGTTCACCAGCCTTTTCAAACGCATAAGTGATGATTAAACACAGTGTCCTAGCAAAGCGTGCAGGTTTTAAAAGTTTAATGCAGTGTCCACTTAAACTTCCCATTGCAACTGCAAGTACACATGTTGAAAGCTAGCTCATTAATGGGATTTCTGACTTGCTTTGGTTGCAACTATGTATTTGTGATTTGGGTTGAGTTTTATCATTCTCCTTTCCCCTCTGAATCCCCCTTGCAACACATCCAAAACGGCATCCTCAGAGTCTGGAGAGACCTCACCATCATAGAACTTCTGGTGCTGCACAGAAAGAAGGTTGAATGAGCCAGTTTTCTGGGACAAGATGGACATTGCATTGCACTGACCAGACTGATGGGAAAGGTGCCAGCAGAACGATGATAGCCTTAGGGATTAGTGCCAGGATACTGTCAAGAAATAGGAATCTATTTGAGGCCTGGGCAGTTCAGTGTTCCAAATTCCAGCCTTTAAGGTGGTCCTTTGGGTTCTTGTAGTATGTATATTGCACGTCTCAATAATTTGCTCTCAGGAGGAATGTGTACGGCAGCTTGTAGCTTCATAAGAGATCAGGAGAAGCTCACATGCATTGTACGTCTCAATTTTCAGAAGGCCTTTGTCCTCCTGGGCTTGTCAGGAAGAAGGTGGAGACTGCGAGCAAGCAAGTGGCTTGGATTTGACCTCCATCTCCAAGATTGGTGTAAGGGCAGGCAATAGACTCACTGAAGTGACCTCCAAAGAGCAGTGTGACAGTAATATTCATTATTGCCCATCCTATTTGACATCTTCATCAATAGTGGATTGGGTGTCATTGTAAGGGGCCATTTTAGAGTATCCTTCATATTTCTGAAGGAATTCTTTTGACTGTTGGTGGTAGACTTGCCTTTGTATGCAGAGTTATGGCTGCGATTGACTCAACTGGGATCTCCAAAGTGCTAGTTGCAAACTCAATTAGTTGCCCCAATTGTTGACCCCTGTTCATACCAGTCCCTAAGTTCTGGCTTAGAACCTACAACCTAGCCTTGTGGGATCATAATGAGAAGACGTGAAGGGACCTCTGGTTTTTTTGATACTTTGCTGAAAAGTGATGATATACGTAGGTAGGGTAAGCTTGTGGCATAACTCACTCAGAGATAGTA